TCTTACCATTGCACGAAGAAACATTCATTATTTGTTTTATATAATACCAAAAGTCCAGAACAGACTAATAGATTCGTATGAGAAGCATTTTGAGGGATGCGATTTATCGAAAACACAAAGAGTGCAATTGTACTACGCGTTCCATTGCACTCTTGGGAAATGGAATTTTCTATTCAATATCACGTGACCGTAAACAGCCAATTAAACGATTAGAATTTAATAAGGTATTATATAAAAGGAGCTAACATCCACTTCAGGGCGCCTTATAGATAAAGTCTCTTGAAGCTTTTTCCACGAATATACTTTAACATTCACATATTGTTATGCTAATGTTGAAAAGAAATGAAAACACTAAATTATATTTAATTATAGGTTGAGCTCAAACGATACATTGAAAAGCAACACTGCGCAGAACGAGAAAGAGTTTAAAAACTGCGAAGAAATTGAATCCAACTGTTCAGAAGCTAATGGCAATGAGAATGAAGACGAAATGGACAACCTTTTTAAACTTTCAGTCCTGTTCGTGCGCGGAAATCCTTTCGATAGTCTAAAACATTGGAGAATGCGATGTAGATTCCTGGATGCAAATCTCAGAATCGGAAGCTTGGGCAGGATACGTGAAGTCGATGAAGAATTTTTAAGTATTTCTGAGAAAGAAAATGGTTTGTCGTCAAGGCCGTTGTCAAGGCGCGGAGTTCGTTTGATTCAAGTGCAGCCCAAGGAGAATGAAATATTGCAAGACGCTGTAGAAGCAGACGATGTTAGGAGTTCTGAACTATCAAAGGAATGTTGTATTGAGGAGCATTGCAAAGACAGCTCTAATGACTTGTGTGGTTTTTCTGATGACTTGGAAAGCATAATAGGTAAGTTATAGGGCAAAAACTGATCACAACGTATAAATGTTGACAATTATAGCAAGCAAATCAAACTAAGTCTTTCTCTTTTAAGGCCGATTTAAACAAAACACAACTTTTGCCTAAAACTGTCGCATGCAACCTGCTTACAACTTGAGTTGTACTGTGTGAATCAAGCACACAACTTACCTACGACATCGCAGGTGAGTTGTGTGGTTGATTGACACAGTACAACTCAAGTTGTAAGCAGGTTGCATGCGACAAGTTTTAGGCAAAAGTTGTGTAGTGCACGTAAATTGATCTTTACTGATCACTTCCAGATACAAGAATACTACATGCAATGAAACGGAATGATGCGAGCCAATAACCTAATTTATATGAAACACGGATCATCCTTCTTTGCTTGTAGTATACACTATACAGCTATTTCAATTAAGGTTGTCCCCGAGCAAAGCGGAAAAGTCGAATACGAGCGCGAAAGGCTGCTGGGAATCGTTAAGAAATTAATGAAACGCGCTCGTATTCGACTTTTCCGCTTTCTGTATCCAGATGCGCGAACCAGCTGCAATAGTGCAGCTAACTAATGTCTTTGTGAACAAATTTTACGCATTGCCTGATATTTTCTATGGTTACACAGGTAAGAACGCACAAGTTGTTACAGGTCTGCAAACAAGTTGTTACAAATCTGTTCACAAGTTGTGTTCGCACTGCTTGTTCCCAGTTGTTGTAACAAGTTTGGAATAACCTGTTCACAACTTGTAACAAGCTTGATATCATTATCAGACTTGTGACAAGGTTGTTCCGACAAGTCTGATACAGTCATGATATAACAAGAATGTTACAAGGTTGACGATACAAGGTTGTAACAATATTTTTATATTATGACTGTATCGGACTTGTTGGAACAACCTTGCAACAAGTCTGATAATGTCAACAAGGTTGTTACAAGTTGTTAACAGCTTGTTCCACACTTGT